GTACACTTTAATAGGTATATAGGATATATAGGATAACGCTAACGTTACCTATTTCTGCACCTTACACCTTGCATACTGCTTTCCGTCATCAGTCTAAATATTTTACGTGTGACTAGCCATATAGGCTATTAATATTAATGTCCTCCAGACCGAGTTTCGGTCACGGCGGTCAGTTTCAACGGAGACAAGCCATCTGCGCAGGAAAGGATTATAGTCCCCGAGTGTACGCGCAAGCATAAGTGCACTCTCTATTCCCTCATTCTCATAGTCCGATGGGACGGTAATTCGTTACGACGGGAGAGAAATCAGGTGCAGGAGCAACGGCTTTACGTGTTTTCCGAAGCACGGGGGTGAGACACCGCCAACTTCCTCACTCCAACTATCACCAACGCTGTTTCTTCTGCATATCAATGATATGTTGCAAACCAGTAACATTCATTGCTATGCAGACGACAGCACTGGTGATGCTTTATACACCGGCCGTGCCAATATTTCTCGGGAAAACATCGCCGAGTACCGGAGCAAACTTGTGTCTGAAGTCGAGACTTTGTTGAACAAAGTCTCAGACTGGGGGCGACTAAAGCTAGTCCAGTTCAATCCCCAGAAGACACAAGTTTGCGCGTTTACCGCTAAAAAGAATCCCTTTGTCGTATCTCCTCAGTTTCAAGGCACTCCCCTTGTTGCCTCAGCCAGTATCGGTATCCTCGGTGTCGACATATCGAGTAACGTGCAGTTTCGTGGTCACTTGGAAGAGAAGGCTAAATTGGCCTCTAAAAAGCTTGGCGTGCTCAGCAGAGTGGGACAGTATTTCATGCGGGCACACCGCTTGCAACTTTACAAGGCGCAGGTTCGGCCTCACATGGAATACTGTTCCCATCTCTGGGCAGGGGCTCCCCAGTGCCAGCTCCTTCCACTTGACCGCATCCAGCGCAGAACGGTTCGAATCGTCGACGACCAAGTTCTTTCCGATCGGCTTGACTCACTGGCACTGCGTAGAGATGCTGCATCTCTTTGCGTATTTTCTCGTATCTACCACGGGGAGTGCTCTGCGGAATTGTTCGGACTGATTCCAGCCGCTCAATTTCACCATCGCACATCGCGACAAAACTCGCGATACCATCCATATCATCTGGATGATTGGCGGTCCACCACTGTGCGATTTAGAAGAAGTTTTCTCCCTCGCACAACTCCCTTGTGGAATCGATTACCACCAGCGATTTTTCCGGACCGATACGACTTAGGGACCTTCAAGAAAAGAGCCTACTCCTTTCTAAAAGGCCGGCAACGCATCTGCGATTCCCCTTGTGTTGCAGTTGTTCATGGGCGGTGGTAGTCACTTACCATCAGGTGAGCCGCATGCTCGTTTGCCCCGTCTCCTATAAAGAAAACTCCAGGCTGCTACTGAGAATTTCTTGACAGAAAAACCCAATAACTGAAGTTGGCCCGACCCCGGGACATCATGATCAGCAAACGCGTTTACAACCAATATAACAGCGAGACAGCTTTTTAATATTAATCTCTGTGTTTAAGAGATTTTGAAAAAAGAATATCCGTAGTAGACGTAAGAGTACTAGGTGTTCCCTTTTATCCCCAGGAGTCACTCTAGAGTAGGTACCACACCTTTACCTATCTCTGCCGCCAAATACCAGTGCTTGAACTGCTGTGTTCCCGTGTAAAGAGTGGATCCAGTGTTGTATTACACTTGACTTTTTTACTTACTTTAATTTTTTACGTGGTAGAACCATGTTGCAGCTATATTGTGGTTGCAGCACGAATGGTTCGGCTCAACCGGGGAAGGACCACGCTCTCACAGAATACCATGGCTCGCCTCGACCGGGGAAGGACCACGCTCTCACAGAATACCATGGCTCGCCTCGACCGGGGAAGGACCACGCTCTCACTGAATACCAGCGTGAAATAGCAGCTCAATGCTACTGTGTTTCGTATGGTGAGTGTAGAGAACCGGAGACCCTTTTTACTGAAAACGAGGCATTCCATCTCAGTCCTCGCGGGTGACAACGCATCTGCATTTTCAGATGTAGAAATCTATGGGCCACAGCATCCACTTACCATCAGGTGGGCTGTATGCTCGTTTGTCACCCTATCCTATGAAAAAAAACTGCTTAGCTTTTAATATAAAACTAATATAAGTTATATTTTGCTTATTCTTCTATCTCATGTTAAATCTAAAAATCTGAAATCAAAATATTAAAAAAAAACTAAATAAAGATAATACGTATACGTGGTAGAGACTTGCTGCAGCTTTATTATGGTTGTAGCACGAATGGATCGCGACTGGGGAAGGACCACGCTCTCACAGAACATCCAGCTTAAAATAGCAGCTCAATACCGCTGTGTTTCATGAGTGAAGAGAACCGGAGACCCTTTTTACTGGAAACGAGGCATTCCATCTTAGTCCTCACGGATGACAACGCATCTGAATTTTATTCTTAATCGAGGATACATGTAAATTACTATTGGCCACAGCATCCACTTACCTTGATGTGGACTGTGTGCTCGTTTACCCTTATTAGTTTTACGGATAAAAAAGAGTCATATGATCCTTGTTTGTATTCGTTTAGTGGCATTTAGCGGTCATATTGAACATTTGACCTTCAATGTTGTTCTCACTGACGATAAAAAATATTGAAAAACCAATTGCACAATGATAAAACACAAGGAACATTAAGAATGACAAGTGACATAACACTTTCCGCGCCTCAAATTACGTCACCTTGACAGTGACATACGAGACATTCCCGCTCTGCGCGGGTCATCGAACCGAAACAACTCACTGGGTTACCACTCGATTAAATTTCGCTTAAAATTTAAAAAAAAATAAAACCCAGCTGACTGACCTTTATATTAAAATAAACATTTTTTTTTGTACTACGGGTTTGACGGATTTGTTGTGCAGTGGCTTAGCTTGAGTTCCGGCACTTATGGCTGCGGGTTCGAATTCCGCACGGATAATGTATTTATATGGCCTACAAATGATGGTTCCGGGTACACAAATCATTGTTCCGGGTGTGGATGTTTGTCTTTGTGCAATTTATGTTTGTAAACTGCCTCCATGATACGGGAGAAAATTTTAGTATAGGAGTAACGTTTCTTTAAAAAAATAAAGCAATACAACTATTAGATAGAATTAATTATAAAATTACATAAAATAAAAACTAATTATATAGTATATTGTAACATCCATCATTATTATCATATGTTAATATTACTAGTGGTTTATAGGCGAAATACGGAATAATTATGGAACCACTTTGGTGTACTGCTGGTCTGTTTGTCTATCACAGACGTTCTTTCAAGAACCATTTTACGCAGGCGATTGAAATTCGACAATCCAATAAAAATAAAGTATGCATTCACCCAAATACAGACTTGTGGCGACGACATAATAAAATCCCTCGCCCTATGAAAAAAGAAAAAGATCTCATGGCTTTCGGTAGATGGCGTTTACGCTAGACGTGAAATACCTATATCTATGATGGGAAACAACGGTAGAGGTGTTATACGTCTGACAATGACAAATCTTTCTTATAACGCGGAGGCGAGAGTCCAGGGTTTAATAAGCTCATGCAATTTTTTTTACCTTTTTTTAAACGTCACTAGGATTTCCTGTATCGTGAATGCAGTTTACATACATAAATTTCACAAGGATAAACATTCAGAGTTCAGACCCGGAACAATTATTTATAGGCCATACAAGCACTTGTTCCGTGAAGAATTCGAACCCGCGACCGTCAACGCGACAACTAATTGCTCAGCCACTGCGCCAAGGAGCCGTCAATATTACAAAAAATATTTTTTAGCAAAACCGAATATTATTTTTTATATCATTTAAATGCGACTAGTGAGCCTAACGTTTGATTCCTAAGAACTCTTTAGAATAGAATAGAATATTGTTATTCAATATATTCTATTATTTACTTATTAATTTTTATATTTACGTTTTTTTATTTTTACCATCGGCTTAGAAAAAAAACCTGTGTCCTGGACACACTATATTATTACAATATATCATTTCACACAACCCATCATAAAATATAATGTACTCTTTACCCCCCCCCCCCCCCCCTTGTTAACAATTTTTGCTTAATAAAAATATTAAACCTTTTGATAGATAAGGCCTGCATATTTTCTGGGACTTTCTTTGGACATTAATCTTTAAACTAATTTTAACCACAAAATGGGTTTGACTGGCATCCATGGCATTAAATCTGTCCTTTGTTACGTTTTTATAATCTCCTTTACTTAAAATAAAGATACTAAAATCATAAATCCTTTCTTATTTTGCCGATTTTAGATTTCCAATTCTAAGCCAAAAGTTGAAAGATGAAATATATCCTGTACTCTAGGTTTTGAAGGCACTAGTGCTATGCTCCGTGGTGAGTATGGGCCTTTACAGTATAGCAATATATATATATATATATATATAATATATATACCGGCAACGCATCTGCAATTCCCCTGGTGTTGCGGTTGTTCATGGGCGGCGGTAGTCACTTACCATCAGGTGAGCCGCATGCTCGTTTGCCCCCTATTCTATAAAAAAAAAAAAAGGCTGTAAAGCAGTGCTATCCTGTTGTTATGCACTACGACCAGGCGTGTCACTTTGTAAAAATCTGAGGTATGGAAAATGGTGGCGCGATTTTCAAATTTGTTCGCATTACTCGTGGGGTATTAAGGTTTAAGAGTTTGCAGTGTATATACTCAACTTATTTATTGAACTATAAGATGTGGGGTATTGAGGTTTAAGGGCTAGCGATTTATTTATATGGGGTTTGTAGTAATATGCGATTTATTTCCTAATTTCAGCTATGGAATTCCATACCTTGAAAAACTTGAGGTATGGAGTGCTCCATACCTTCCATAGTGGAAGTGACACCCCTGACTACGACCTATCTAAATCTTCCCATATATAAAATTTAACTTCAATGTGACTCTGAAGTCTAAATTACCAATAAAACTCCACGTTTTCTTTTCCACAGTAACAACTACTACGTAATAGAGATGCCCGAAGAGGACGTACCGCTACAAGAAACCAAAAAACCATTTAAAGTCTACTGGAATGTACCAACGATGCAATGTACATCAAAGAAAATACCATTCGCAAACTTATATGAGAAGTACGGAATAATACAAAATGCGAATGACAGTTTTCGCGGCGAAAAAATCGCCATTTTGTACGACCCGGGCCTGTTTCCCGCGTTACTGAAGAACGAAACGAGCGGGAAATTCAAATTTAGAAATGGCGGCGTACCGCAAGAGGGCGACATTGAGAGCCATTTGGATGCGTTCAGATTGACAATGGAGCAGAGTATACCAGATGTGGATTTCAAAGGTAAAATTTTTGCAACGAAGTTCCTTATCGCACTGTACGAATTTGACGGATGGGGGCTAGGTGAGAAAAAGTGTAAGATTTTTCCGTCATGACCCCCTTTCTAAAGTGCGAGCATATCCCTCGCACTTTAGTATCTGGTATGATTTTTATCTTACCATGAAAGAAATATTATATTAAATGACGCTTCATTTTAACAGACGCTAACAGTTCATTTATTTTTATTTGTTAATCAATAATAATATACAGGAACTTTAACTTTATGTGAAATAAGAATAGAAGGGAAGTTGATCGAGCAAGTGGATGAGTTTGTATATTTGGGATGTTTATTTAGCAGGGATGGTAGATATTTATTTATTTATTTATTTATAAATAAATATCTACCATCCCTGCTAAATAGAGTGAATGGGGCTCTACGCGCTATTATGAGGAGTCAGAATGTGTCAAATAAGGCACGTATGGCAATTCATAATGCTGTGTTAGTCCCTACTTTAATGTATGGTAGTGAAAGTTGGGTCTGGCAGAAGAAGTATGAGAGTAGAATAAATGCTGTAAAAATGCGGTCCTTAAGGAGTATGCTAGGGCTGAATCTGAATGACAGGTTGAGAAATAGAGAAAAGTGTGGTTTGCAAGATGACGTTGTGACAAGGATTAAGAAAGGAATGCTTCGGTGGTTTGGTCATGTAGAAAGAATGAACGAGGAAAGAATGACAAAACAAATTTATGTTGTAGAAGTGAACGGCAGGGTCGGGAAGGGACTCCTAGACGAAGGTTTATCAACCAAATCGGCGATACATTGAAAATGGGCCAGATTAGGAGTACCCTTAACCGACGAGCGTGTATGCGTAGATATATGGATGTAAAGGAGGCGAGAGAGGTGTGTCAGGATCGCGCCAAATGGAAGTCCGTAGTCTCTGCCTACCCCTCTGGGTGACAGGCGTGAGTCTTTATGTATATGTTTTGTATGTCAAAGGAACTTCGTTCCAACCGAGTGTTCCACGACACTCACGCATGTTTTTTAATTTACTTTTATACTTTTTTAAACATTTTTGCTGCCCCATTTTAGAACCGAGTAAGGACTGGAACTTACATTTGACGGCTCTGTGGCGCAGTGGCATAGCAATGAGTTACTGCGCTGGGGGCCGCGGGTTCGAATCTCGCACGAAACAAGTAAAAATGGCCTACAAATAATTGTTCCGGCTCTGGATGTTTGTCCGTGTGCAATTTGTGTTTGTAAACTGCCTCCACGGTACAGGAGAAAGGCGCTGTCGTCGCGCCGCAAGCGAAACACATCGAAGCCTAAATCGCGCTAACAAAGTTCCGAAGTTACTTACTTACTTACTTACTTATTTACTTACTTATCTTCACGCACAATCCCTGACGGGGTAGCCAGAGAGAACAGATCGCCAAGTGTTACGATCCTTACATACCTCTTTCGCTTCTTTCAGATTCATTATCTTCTTCATACATGCACGTCTAGGTATCCGAGTACACTTGACCCTACCCTCTTCGAGCAATTTGCTCACATGGTCTTCGAAAGTTAGTCTCGGTCTACCTCGACACCTTTTAATATTAACTTTCGCGCTATATATTTTCTTCACCATTCGGTCTTCACTCATTCGCTCAACGTGCCCAAACCACCGAAGCACGCCCTTATCAATTTTTGTGATAAGGTCATCTTTCAAACCTGCCATATTGCGAATCTCTTCGTTTCGCTTTCGGTCGGCCATGGTAACGCCGCACATTTTACGAATAGATCGCATCTCCACTGCATTCAACTTGCTTTTATGCTTCTTCTGGCATACCTAGGTTTCGCTGCCATATAACAAAGTCGGTACCAACACTGCGTTATGTATTGCAAGGCGTGCACTCTTCACTACGCCTTGCCTTTTGACTAACGCAGTCAGGGCACCATTGACTTTGTTCCCGGCAGCGACACGCCTGTCCACATCTAAATCACATCTTCCATCCTGGCTAAAAGCACTCCCCAAGTATACAATTTCATTTACTTGTTCTAGACATTCCTGATTTACCCATATTTCACACTTCGTTCTCCCTTCGTCCCTTTCAAATACCAGAACCTTAGTTTTATTAGCGTTCAAACGGAGACCTTTAATTTCACATTCCTCTTTCATACACGTGACTAATGCCTGCAGTTCTGCCTCTGATGGTGCAATAAACACTGCATCATCAGCATACAGCAGACAATTTACTTTAATGTCACCCAATTTCACACCCAAACAGCTATCTTTCAGCTTTTGTAAACAGCTGTCGAGATACAGTATGAACAGCCAGGAAGACATGACACAACCCTGTTTTACGCCCATTTGGACGCTAAACATGGGTGACAGGTAATGCCCTACCCGCACACAGGCTTTAGAGTCACAGTAAAGAGACTGCACAGCCCTTAGCAATCGACCATCCACACCATACCCCGGCAACAGTTCCCACATTTTCTTCCTTACAACCTTATCAAATGCTTTCTCAAGATCCACAAAAGCACAGAAAATCTTCTGGTTAGCAGCCAGAAGCTTTTCCGTGATCATGCGGAGAGAAAACATTTGATCCGTGCATCCTCTTCCAGGTCTAAATCCGCATTGTGCCTCCCATAGAAATCTTTCCGATTTCTCTTGCATCCTACGTGTCAAAACCTTCGAGTAAACTTTACTTGCTAAACTGGTCAAGCTGATCGCCCGATAGCACCCGCAGTCAAAATGTGAACCTTTACCTTTATATAAAGGCACAATGACTGCGGATCGCCAATCATCCGGGACATCCCCCGTCCGCCAGCACAAATTGCACAGCAGATGAAAGCTGTCCCAGACGCGAGGCCCACCATACTTGACCATTTCAGCAGTAACTCTGTCTAGTCCCGCAGCCTTACCACATTTCAAACTTCGAATCGCACGTTCAATCTCTTTCATACTGATGACCTCAGTGTCATCGAGGTCCGGGTCTGGCGTACCAGTCACGGCGTCATCCCCGGATCCCTCACTAAGATCATCACACGCATACATTTCTCTATAAAATTCGCTCCATCGCTGCATGACGTCCGATTTTTCTGAGAGGACGTCATTAGTTCTCGAAAGCACTTAGTTCATTCTTAAGGCCGTCGCACCACTTCGGGTCCTTCCAACCTCTTTCCAGAAGAGTTTGAAGTTCTCCTTAAAGTTGTGCGACAACCTTTCGTCCGCTTCCATTCTACACCTTTCACGCACTTCCTCAATCAGTGCTTTCGTGTGAACTTTCTGCAGCCTATATCTTTCTTTCATCTTCTCTCTCATATCCTTATCATTACTAGAGGCCAAGTAGTCTAACCATGCTTTCTTCTTCTTCTTTACAGCTTCTTTCACTTCATCATTCCACCATGCATCTCTTCTTTTACTACTGCCTCTTTTTATTGTTCCACACACTTCTTCCGCTGCACTTACCATTCCATACCTAAGGTTCTGCCATGTTCTTTCTACACATTCTTTTCTACCATCGATGGTGTCAAGCTTTTCGGCTACCCTCGCATGATATTTGTCCCTAGTATCCGCTTCCTGAAGCTTCCAGCTTCGGATGCGACAGACCGACTGTGGTTCTGTTACTGCCGTCCGGTAGCGCCAACCCGCGAACAGACCCCTAAATCTAGTAATCACTAGATAGTGATTCGTTCCCAGGTCAGCACCCCTGAACACTCGCGTATCCATAACCTGTTTTCGCAGTCGGTCATCCACCAGGTACAAATCGATCATACTTCTCTCATTCTTTCTTTCTCTAGTATACATATGGATTTTCTTGTGATTAAACATAGTGTTTGTCACAAGAAGACCCTTTTCCTTGCATACCGCCAGTATAAGCTTGCCAGCATCATTAACCCTTTTATCGCCAAACTTTCCAAGTACCGACTCGTACCCTGGTCGAGCGGTACCAACCCATCCATTCAAATCACCACATACAACAATTCTTTCGTTTCCCCTAGCCAAATCTAGAACTTCTCTTACATTCTCCCAAAACTCCTCCAGCTCAGCCCTGGACGACGAAGCTACCGGCGCATAAACAGCCAAAAGGAATAACTTCGTCAGTCCCAATTTAAAGCGAACCCAGAGAAGTCTTGAGTTCACAAACTTATATTCAGTCATAACATCGACCAACCGAGAAGACAGCAGCACCCCCACTCCCTGGCAGGCGTTCTCGCTCTCCGGGACTCCGGACCATAGAGCTAACGCCCCGCCAGGGAGCTCCTTTATTTAAAGCAGTATATATAGAATAGCTCCGAACTACCACTCGGCGCGTTGGCCGCTCCCCGGGCAGAACACCTTGTTGGACGGGAGATCTCCCCTTTTCCTTTCACGGCCACAGAACTTTATCACAGTTTTATTATAAGTTTTGAAAAATAATGGTTCCTAATTAACTTTAGATTGTTATTAGATCCTAAACGGTCATTCAAAATGTAAAATGGTTAGAAAAACCTAATTTTCAAAGATCTATTCATTGATTGAAAGCGCAAATCCGGTCGTGCGTGGAGTACTGCTGTCACATATGGGCTGGTGCTGTAAAATGCCACCTGGCAGAGATGTGCTAAGAGGCTCATTGGTGACCTCGATTTAGTTGAAACCAATCTTGTCGGCCTTAATCACAGGCGCAGAGTAGCCAGCCTCTCGGTATTCTATAAGGTGCATTTCAGTGAATGTGAAATACACTCTTTAATTCCAGCCTCTCCTCTCCACCAACGGACGACCAGGCGGTCGGTGGATCTTCACCCCTTTGTTGTCGATATTCCACGCATTAGAATGAAAAGGTTTGCTTCGACTTTTGTAATGCGTACAGCAAAGGAGTAGAATAATTTGCCGACGTCTATCTTTCCGTCCGAATACAAACTTTGCGTCTTCAAGGCAAGAGTGAATAGGCTTTTGTTACGCTAAGACAGTGCGATTTACCATCTAAGGCTGCATCACCACTTATCACGAGATGGGATTGTGGTTAAGCACTGGCTTATAATAAGTAAAAAAAAAAATGAG